AGAATCCATTCCATATAAATATTTGATTATCTGTGAAATTATGCTGATCATTTTTTAATAAGATATTTGTCAAACGGACATGCCATGTTTTTTCTAGCAGACCTAGTGAAAGTTTGGTTATGAACAAAACTAGAAGAGAAACTACAATGAAGAAATAAAACAAATAGATTGGCTATAAGGAGTGGAGATAGAGGAAACTCTGAGTTGACTGAACAAAACCTGCTTCCAACCAGGTTATCTCTTGGAAGAAAGTTATTATGGCAACAGAAACTATCATTGTAAAACAGAAAACTCAGAGTTTCCCTTACTTTAAGTTTAGAAAATTTAAAGTTTTCAGAAAACCTGTTTATTGAAACGGACCCCTTGTCTCTGTGGTGGTTCTGAAGTTAAGCAGTGGTCCATCTTGGTGGGTCATCCTAATAGATGCAAAACACATAAGGATTGGAAGAAGAATGTGCTTTCAGTATCATACTGACCTCTTGTGTACAAACCTGAAAATTACAGACTGTAGTGAAATATAAAAAAAAGAACATTTTTTGAGAACTACTTGATATATTTCTTATTTCTGCAGCTGATTAAACACAATGAAGCATAGTGTCTGGAGTTTGTCATGTTTACACATTAGCAATTAAATTAAGCAAATGCACTTAAAGTATGAACAATTCACCTGAAGCAGGGGCGCCGCCAGAAATTTAGTGCCCAATGAAAGATTCCAGCCCAACGCAGCAGGGGGGACCCTGCTGCGTTGGGCTGGGTCCTTACAATCAATACGACCTTTCCCCGTTTGGAGGCTCCCTGGCCTGTAGTGCCATGAACACACCTAGTCTCACCCATTACTGCTGAATTATGCACCCAGTCAGTGTTGGGCATGAATGGTGTTCACTCACTACATTCATATTTGTGAACTGTGAACTGATCAGTGAACTGATCAGATTTGAAGTAATAAACGTGAACGAGAGCGAAGTTCACTCACAGAATAATGAGCAAAACACACAGCACACTTTCATGTTCAACTGATAACAACTCTTTTCATTGGATAATGTCAGGTTTTACTGCACTTTTTACAACAGACAGCATGACGAACCAGCATGTCTACTGCTAGTTCTAGTCTGCAAAATTCTGAATTATCTGCTGTTATTTCTGATGGCAGTTTTGCAGAGTGCTTAAAAAAGTTTTTGCAAACTAACAAAGGAAGACAGAGACATAAAAAAAACTTTTGCAAACTGCTCCCACCGGGACTTAACAAACAAGTCCATACGTCAACCACGTCCAAATAAAATTTCAAGCGACACATCAAATTAAAGCATCCTAACTATATTGGGAAATATCTGCTACTGAATGAGAAACAAAAGAAATCACTTTTGATACAGATCTTTTCAGCAGAACCTGCATGTTCTTGTATGTTTCTGAAGTTCTGTGTAATTTGGCTAAATAAAGTCTTAACTGCACATCCAGTAAACCTTGACTGAGTATTTTCTTTCTATTCTTCCTATATATTATGATCACACATTTAAAGGGTGAAATATGAGGTTTTATTGTATAGACTTGTGGCTTAATTTACTAAATGAATTTGCAAACTAGTTAATTTATTATTTGTAAACTTAGTTAATTTTTTGAAAAAGTGAGCTATGAATGTGAGCTGGTACATTTTTATCTATGTGAACTGAACTTTGAGGTTTTCTTTTTATGAACTGGCCCAACATTGCACCTAGTTAGTTGTTTTGAAATCACAACGACACTCCATTTTTGTTAACATTAGTGTCTTAACTATAATAAGACACTAAATCTCTCACTCCAGCCCTTAAGGTGGTGGTAATATTCTGAAAGTAGGTTTGTTTGATCAAAGAGGGAAAAAGAGAGTTGAAGCTAGCCTGCAAATCCAGGCATGCAAATAGAAGGCCCATCCCATACAGCTCCCTAAGCACTACTTCCCTCTACCAGAATTAATTGTCCAACTCACTACCTGCTTAAACTCCTGTCCCCTTCTGCTTATAGCCTCCTGGTAATTGTATTATTAACAGCTTAACTTAAACAGTCAGAGGCAGTGCCAAACAAATGGATCTTTAATTAAAAAAAAAACTCAGGATTTCAGCACTTTTACAGTCTTCTAGAAGTGTGTTGAGATAAGTGGAGCATGGGAACTAAATGCTACTTCACCATGGTTGGCAATTGTTTTGGATATACAAAGTAAGCTTGAACAACATTATTTTATTTTTTATTTTATTTTGTGTTTAAATAACTGTTATATCTGTTTATTTCTATATCTATTCACTTTCTGTAATTCAGCCAAATGGACATTCTTATGTTGACATATGATGACCAGAGACGGTCTAGCATCACCTTACAGCATATGGCAATACTGTAGGCTGTGTGAGAAGAGCCTAATGCTGACTGGATGCTTTGGAGGAAACACCTCCTGACTGACTGGGATAAAATTGAAAAGTATGCTCTTTGCCATTTTTGCTGGATCCTCAGCTAAATGGGGAAGATGTAAAGAGGACCTAAAATAGAAGGTGAGATCATCATCTTCAATTTGTGCTTATATCAATGATTTTAGAATAAATTCTGTTCATTCTTAAACATGTTTCCTTCTTTGTGTACACTACCTGAGAAACATACGTCCTCGGATTCAGACTGGCTAAACAAAATGTTGATCGAACAAAACTAAGGGGTACCGAACCCACTTAAAGCATTGTGCCTCTGCATCTGCAAAGAACCTGCTCCTCCAACAAAACTTTTCAATGTTATAAGATCACAAACAAATAATATAAATGCTATAACACATCTGGAAATTATGTTTGATTAAGGTCATTTTACATTTTCATTTTCTGTGAAATTATGTTTTGCAGGGGGCATTTCATTTCATTT